GAAAGTAAGCAAGGGGTGAAAAGTAGGTTAAAAGGTCATGTGGCCCTGGATGAAACAAAATACACCACCTTGTTTACCGGTCTAACAGTGCAAAAACTCCGAACGCTTTCAGTCTCTTATTTACCTCCTGTTAAAATTTTAACACAGTGTTATTTATGTTAGTCTTCAAAATCCAGTTTTTCAGCAAATGGACGACAGGAATGACGGCAGTTCTCTGTGCAGATAGGAACGGACGTACTATCCCATTTGCCTTTGAAAAGGACGAAGAAATTTTCTTCGTCGAACAGTGATAATAGCTGGACTGGTCGGTCAAATATTAACACAGTAAAAAAATGCAATTTGGTTGAATGGTACGATCGTCAGGCCTGACACAATAGACAAAACCGATGGTACAGACCAAGATGATTGAACAAACCACCTTGATCCAGCTCGCAGACTCCAATCAATAAATTAAATTTCAGTTTAATTAATCATATCATACTCTTTACAAATTATCTTAGTCTAAAATCCTGTCTGGTCGATGGGTGCTTTAAGTATGGGCGTCACCAAAACGTTAAGAATCGCTATTACCGTTCTGTCGAAAGCGTCGACTAAATCCCTCGGGCTTAGACCAAAGTTCTCCTTGTCCACTCACCTCGAAATCTTAACACAGGTACAGAACTGGACCGACTCTACCGACTACTTAAAAATTTCGCAGATCCGCTATCCCTTGATAAAATTAGGTTACGTTTATAGCTCACTATCTAGCTTCAGGTTTTTTATTAGCATTGATAGAAGCTCAACTTCTATTTGTTGGATTGAGCATGTCCTTCTTGAAAGTCGAAGCCTTCAAAGTAACATATAATGTGTTCTTCGGTTCCTTGACAGAACTAAGTAGCCGTTCGAGATGGTAGGCTACTAGGAAGGAACTTGTAATCAACAACTCTTTGTATTCAATCTGGAATGAAGATTGCTAGAGATGGTAGGTGTAGTTACGCCGATAGTGACTCCTCAGTTGACAGGAATGTGGATGCAGGATGCAGAAGGTGGAATCCTTCTCCTGGTTATGTATTGAGATTGCCTTTTCTTCTTAACAAAATTTACATTGGCTATACTACCACTCAAAACTTAGTCACAATATTTCTTCCTGTTGAGTCGGAACTGTCCAGCCAGCCAACATGTTCGTAATCCTAAGCTTTTCCAACATTTTGCAGCAGTCTGTAAGTTAAGGCTTTTCCTGATGAAGGCATTGTACCATAATAACTTCAAGTGCCTAGTAGTTTTGGTCATGCCTAATATCGCATCCTTGAGACGTTCTAGTTGCTTGAAAGTTCCTTATAGGAACCTATCTCTCTCTGAACCTATGTGCAACTGATCTACGTTGTTCTCGCATGGAGATATATGGTAGGTTTAATTACATCTCCAGTTATAGTTAGTTTCAAACAGGCTTTTTTGGGGATCCAAAGCCTTGAGAGTCCTAGTTCGCTGGATGGATCTTTCTCTTTTTATGACTTCACAATATGTTTTTCTGCTTAGTAGAGCGTAAACAAAGGAGCCTACACGTTTTCAAATACCTGTTGATTGGACAATGTCCAGTTCACAGACCTTAAATGTGAGTTTTGTCAAGCTAGAAGACGTACTTTTAAACAGCCGAGTCGCTTGTAAACCTACAGTCTGACGTCCGGTAGCTGTTAAAAGTGGGTCATCATGGAAAATTTTGTGACGCCACGCTCGAGGGCGGGCGCGGCATCGAAGGATCATCGCTGACGTATCCGAGGAATAAGAATGTGGGCGAAATTCTCCCACACCATCCTTGCTACGCTTATTTATTTAGAAATCGTGAGATGCGGTCTGGTGTGATGTAGGTTTCAGAAAAACATTTTCTTTATCGTGCCAACGTTTCGAACTTTATTGAGATCATCTTCGGGGCTCAAAGTGCACTCTCAACACGACACGCAAGAATGGCACAATTACACAGAAGACAAACACTTTGAGCCCTGAAGATGATCTCAACAAAGATCGAAACGTTGGCACGATAAAGAAAATGATTTTCTGAAACCTACATCACACCAGACCGCATCTCACGATTTCTAAATAAATAACGGTCACTAATCACCACACACTTGGTACCCTTGTTTTTCCTTCCTTCACATATCCAAAGAGCCATCTTCCAAATCCCTGGAGCAACTTCGACCTGTTTTTCCATCCTTTCGACGTATCCAAAGAACCATCTTCCGAATCCCTGGAACAACTTCATCTTGTTTTTCCATCCTTTCGACACATCGAAAGAGTCATCTTCCCAATCACAAAATGTGCATATTTCGAACTTTTCAATTTTTTTATATTCTTCAAACGCTTCTTTGGTATTAATTATGTGCTATTTAACTCACTAAAGGATTATTACAATTTCATTTTTAAGATCGTACAAAGCCGAAGGTTAGCTTCAAGATTAAATACTGTTTGTGACATGTCCATAATTCCTTCGCCTTGTAAAGGTCAGATCAAGAGTGTTTTCAGTTGTTCGATCAATTGGCATCAAGTCAGAAAGCCAAGTTTCAGTCATTCCGAGCTTACAAATTGAACGGTTCTACTTTCTCAGACAATCATCCACGACCAAGTCATTTCTCTCAAGATTGTTGTGATAATTCTTCAAAGGAATATTTTCCAGTTGGAAAGCCCGAATCGGGAAATCAACTTTCAATTTTTAACAGAAGTGACATTTCCGAAAAGCAAATAGTTTTAATTAGAACAAGTTATTCTTTACATTTTATGTTGTGAGATTTTCTAGAGGCCTTCGGGGTAAAGACGTTGTAGTTTGGACGTTTTCGATCTTTTTTATCTTTGGTCTTTCAGACTAGTTTCGCCCATGGCGACTTTTTTTGGGTCGGATATGAGTTTATTGGTCATATTTACTCTCAATTTGAGAATGATGAAGGAGTGTGTCTGTGGTGGGTAATTGTTAGTGCCTCGACCTGCTTATAACCCTGTCGACATATTGTATTAAACTTTTTTGGTCGTATGTGACCTTCCTGGTCCACCTATCTTCACCGTTTTGGTCTTTTTACTGGTTTCGTCCATTACGACATGACTATGGGTTGGGTCTGAGTGTTTGTTGGTCATATTTACTCTCAATTTGAGAAAGATGAAGGCGTGTGCCAGTTATGGGTATGTGTTGGTGTCTTGGCCTGCTTATACCCTGACCAAGTTTTGTAGAACAATCAAAAATAGAAGTTTTATACTTGTAAATGTATCAAGGCAGTAAAGTCAGCTTACAATTAAAAAGTTAAATAATTTCATTTCTCCTCGACGCTGCGGACAGACGAGCTTGCATTTTGGTCGTTTTTTTATATTCCGGGTTAGCTGTTTTTGGACTTCACACAGTTCGTAAGCCAAGAAAAGATCATCGAAATCATTGCTTGAAAATCTGTTTCTAGAATATTTTCATTGTTTTTGGATCGTTTCAGATCATCCTGGGCCGCCTAGTCTCGCTGTTTTTGGTCTGTCGGATACTTTTAAGCATTTCGCAATGTCTAGTATTTCGGCCTGTTTATTTTTTATTGTCTTCCTTTTAGTTTGGATAAATATTAAGGGGATGAGTCGATTGTGGTATGATGTGCCTAGACCTACTTATATCCTGGCCACGTTTTGTATTAATCTTTTTAATAAACATCTACTTAAAAGGACAAAAACAAATTAATGCAAAATTCATATCAATTAAATGTGTTGAGGTGGTGAAAATGCAGGTAATGAGGAATTGAGGATGTAATTTGGTCGCGTGAGATCATCCTGGTCCGCTTGGCCTCGCTGTTTTGTTCTTTCAGACAGGTTTTAACATTTCTCCACGTCTTATGGTAGCGGTCTGTGTGTTTTGGTGGCTCGACTTGCTTATGGCCCTTAACTCGTTGGTTAGAGCAAAGCGAAGTTGTATGCCTACAAAATGTTTCGAGGCTATGATAACATTTTACAATTAAAAGGTTAAATCATACCATTTCTCCTTGGTGATGAGCCTGTAGTTTGGTGGTTTTTCTATCTCCCGGGTCCGCCTAGTCGCGCTGTTTTTGGTCTTTCAGACACTTTTATCTTTTCGCCATTTCTAGTAATTGGGTGTGTGTGTTTTTTAGTTATTTACTTTTTATTTTGGTGCAAAATTAAGGGGTGTCAGTTGATGGTGTATGCTAGTGCCTCGAACAGCTGATAACCCTGAACGCGTTACCTAGAACAAACAAATATAAAACTTTTATGCCTAGAAATTGTATCAAGGACAATTTCAGTTAAATTTTGGATGTCTTCTTGAAGTCAGCGGGGTGATGAGCATGTATTTTGGTCGTTTCTATCTTCCGCCCAGTCTCGCTGTTTTTGGTCTGTCGGATGGTTTTAACTTTTTCGCCATTTTTAGTAATTGGTTTTTACTTTTCTATCTGTCGGATGCTTTTAACTTTTCCCAATTTCTAGTTGTTGGGTCTGTGTGTTTTTTAAGTTGTTTTCATGTTTAAGAAAAATGAAGGGTTAATCAGTTTCTTAGGATTGGGTTTGACGGATTTTCGTGGTTTGATGCTGGATGTTTTACCAGTTCGTTAGAATTTGTTTAACAAAAGGTAAACGGCTAGAAGGTGACCTGGATGAACATACAGGACCATCACCCAGCAGACTTCGAGAAGAACCTGAACAAATCCCAGTTCAGCATTCCTCGTCTTTCATTTCGACACGAAATTGACATTCGATGATTTTCTGTTATTCATTACACGGGACAAGAAGTAACGTTTACTTAGCCGGAGTTAAAATTCTTTTTTCCTCCCCGACGCCGTAAGCGGCCCAGATCGATAATTCAGCCTTAGCATCTCGTTAACCCGATTCGAAGGCCGCCCCTTGTTTAGCGAAAGCTCTCGTTTAATTTGAAACATGAGAAAGTTAAGCGGAGCCGAGGTGGAACGAGACGGCACACATTCGGCCCATACGGGCTCGCTTCGAAGTTTCAAATTTTGCCATGTCGACTAATTTTTTTCCTTTCTGTCTTTTGTTACAGCTGTATTTCCGACTCTGGCCCTGCATGACCATAGTCACACGCACGACCACAGCCACAATCATGTGGAAAGGCCTAAAAAGCTAGCTCACCAACCAAAAAGTAAGTAGGTTTTTTAAAATGTTTTTGTTAATATGAAATGCACGCATATGTAGAAATCCGAGCAATTCATACCATGAAATTTTCATATAATATCATAGTTGCAATACCAATAAAACATAAATACAGAAAAGCCTGACCACTGGAAACAATTTTGTACAAGTATTTTTGACAAAAGTGAGAAATTTCTGCATGTTCTATGGTTGAAAAAGGTCCAAAATAGTTCTCAAAGCTTGTTGTACAGAGTTGAATTCAATTATTTACACGTGTAATCATAAGATTTATGAGGGACAACAAGGAAGCTGATAAATTGACAAAGGAAAGTTCAAACAAGACACCTATCGGCCCTGAACTCATTTGCGGCATACAAACTCCCCAAAAATGCAGATCCATTAGGCATTGGATTAAAATAAGTCCTCAATTCAATGGGAAAGTATTCCACGACAGAGGCAGGTGAAAAGTTCGTCAAAGGACCATGGCAGACTCTTAAACCTAAGGTGATGGTAGGCTGCTGACTGGCGTCCGGACACCGCAGACTTGGGAGGCATATAGTCTAGGAGCAGCATAAACGAGCAGATATTGTCAAAAAGAAGAAAAAACAGCGGAACATATCCTCTGTTGGTGGATGGTCTATGAAGGCTGAAATCCTTCTCCTGTGTAAAGAATGAAAGGATCCTTAAGAAAGCTTCGGCCGGTTAAATGCTTAAAGCTTGACGAAAAGCCAAACACAACGCTGAAGATTGCACAATAAACCAATTTTAGTCGCGATGCCTAAAATCTAAGCTTAAACTGATTTACAGATTGCGATATCCTCATGACAATTTGATTGGCAAAACAACCTCAACTCCCACTAAGAAAATTTCTACGGAAAGAAGAAGAAACAGCGGAACATATCTTCTGTTGGTGGATGGTCTATGAAGGCTGAAATCCATCTCCTGTGTAAAGAATGAAAGGATCCTTAAGAAATCTTTGGCTCCTGGTTAAATGCTTTATGGTTGACGAAAAGCCATCCACAACGCTGAAGATTGCACGATAGACCAATATTGGTCGCGGCCCCTCAAGCCTAAGCCTAAACCGATTTACAGATCACGACATCCTCATAACAATTTGATTGGCAAAACAGGCTCAACTCCCCCTAAGAAAATTTCTACGGCCACGATTGGGAATATATATTTTTTTAAATGGATTTCGCGAATTTGGCTAGAAGGTAGCATGGAATCGCGTTGGGAAGGTGCAACCGTTGAAGGACGGGGATGCAAATTAAATTAGGGGAGAATTGAAAGCGGAGGCGGCTGTCCTACGCCCACGTTGACAAAGTTCAATGACTGGGGGCGGGAAAACCCCTACTTTTCCCTCTCACTTATTCTCTATCTACCTATCTTTATCTCTCACTCTTTCTTTCTTTCCCCCTATCTCTTTTTTTTAGTCTCACTTTCTTTCTCTTTTTCTTTCTCCCTCTCTCTTTTTATTTCAGCCTCTCACTCTCGTTTTCTTTCATACTCCTTCCTCACATATTCAACTCTCTCTCTCTCTCTCTCTCTCTCTCTCTCTCTCTCCCTCTCTCTCCCTCCCTCCCTCCCTCCCTCCCTACCACCCCTCACTCTCTCTCTCCCTCTCCCNCTCACTCTCTCTCTCTCTCTCTCCCTCCTTAATTCTGTTTTATTTCACATATTCACTCTGTCTTTCGTTTTCTTTCTGCCTTATTCTTTTTGTCTCTCTCTCAGTCACCCACCTCACTCTCTCTCTTTCTCTCCCTCCCTCATTCTCTCTCTTTCTCCTTGATACAAGCATACTGCCTTGCAGTACTTGAGAAAACGGAGAGCATTATTCGGAGTACTCTGAGCCTTGCCAAAAAAAATGTCGTGCTTTATTATTAATATAAATAATCCACAACGGTTTGTTGCTTTTTTCTAGAAAAAATGTTCAGGAAAAAATGTTTGGGTATTTGGTTTAATGAAATGATAATAAATAAAGTGATTAGCTGTTTATTCATTTTGAACAATTGAGAATGAGAGAATCAATTAAAAATATACACTGACTTCATTTTCATATTTAAACAGGAAAATTTGTACTTACATTTATACACTTAAAATAACATCATTTGGAAAGAGAACTTTGTCAAATAATTATGTAATTCTCATTGAGTCATTTTATAAATAAGACGTCTGCATTACATAATGGTCCTTTTTTGAATTTCAGGCAAGTCGGAAAGTAAGGACAGCCCAGAAAAGGAAAAGACGGAAGCCCATGCAAAGCAAAAGCACAAAAACAAATCGGGTGCGTAACGTTTCAACGTCTTAAATAAGGCATATTTGCTATAAAAAAAAAGCATTTATTAATTTTTCTTTTTTTTCAGATAACAAGTAGAAATGAAGCGCAGCAATGTCTTAACTGTGGGATATATCAAAGGGTGGGAACCAAAAGAGTGATAGATCCATTAGTCTCAATATAAATTAAAACAGAATTTTTTTAAAATAAATAAAGCCAAATAATTGTTATTTTTAAAATACATGATTCTGTATGAAAATCATCGCCCATTTGTATATAAAACAATTTTAATAATTTCATTGTTAAAATAATAGTGACTAAATTATGATTGTAAATATTCCAATGGTTACAATATTTTATATAATTAAAATTCTATAAATTACGATGTATGTCCATTACAGCATACTGTGAAGTTATTTTATTCTAGAGTTGAAGTATCGATCCTTTAAAATATTTATATAGGTATTAATCCCAAAATTAAATAAGAGTTTTTACTGTTTTTCTAGTCATATCGAGAACATATATTTTAATTAACTTAGAAATACAATTTACCTAATTTAAAAAAAAAAAACAAAAAAAAAACAAGGGGGCATGCATAAATTGAACATAGTTTATATGTGTGTCACATGATGTAAGGTGTTTGGAATTTTTGAAATCCAATAAATCATATTTAATTATGTTAAACTACATAATATTGTCATTGAATTAATTCAAATTATTTTCTATACGTCAATGTGATAGCAAAGCTTTACCTTGAGCGTAGAATTTAGATTTTATATCAGATGAACTTTATTGTGACACCAATATTAAAACGAAAGTTCTACCATAAAAACGTTTATTGTTAAGATAAGAGAGCACGTCTGGATGATTGCCTTTATGTGTAAAATGCTCAATAATTCAATTACGAAAAAAACATCATCAAGTCAGTCCAGGGATAACCCATTTATTCACAATTTCCTTCCTTAAAAAGAAAAATAAACTAGGTTTCAATTGGTGCTATATCAGTAACTGCCAGGAAAACCAAGTTTCCTTTTGACAGACATTCTAGCGTGAATAACAAGGGATTAATATACTTTACATTTCCAGTCAACCCGTTAACAACACTGAAATCAAAGATCTTGAAAGTGACATATCTAAGAAGAGAATGTTTAAAATTTCAAAAGACTAGTATGAATGACAGTATGAGTGTCTCAATATTTGAAGAAAAAAAAAAAAATTAAAAATCGATGTTCTCAAATAACATAGTTTAAGGTTTTATTATAATTTACTAAAATTTAAACTTCCATGCTGCCGTTCAAAATATTTTGTCCGTATCATTCATTCCTAGTGGATCTTAAGAAATTATGTGTAATATGTAAATTGTTTAACATAAAAAATTAAACATTCCTATACTTTCCCGCTTCTTGTAACTCACTTAGTTCAATAGTGCTAATTAGTGTTTTGATTTAATGTTTTAAATGTAAATGTTTCACTTAATTTTAATTGTAGCAAATTAACACCCAATCCAACTACATAATGGAGTACAAATAAAGGCAATTTGTATTAATTATTATTTTATTATTAATTCTTCCTATTCATAAATTACACCTCTTGTTTGTTAATCACAAAAAAGTTTATTTAGGCTCATCCCTGCAAACAGCTTTAATATTTTTCAAACATTTGAATTACATATTCGTATGGAAATTGTAATTTTTCTAAATGAAAGGATGAAGCGATTGTGAGATTAAAAAATAAACAGCTTTGATTGATTATATCCTAAAAGCTCAGTAGCAAAACAATTCTGCTTGTTTTTCTGTTTGTTGCTTTTAGAACTTCCTTATATTCAAAATTTGACCTATTTATTAATGTATTATTCATAAAACATGAAATCAATGAAAAAATCATGATGTACTACTTATATCATGACCAGATGGATAACCTCAAAATTACATGATGTATATATTTTTTTAAGATGCCTTTTTGATGAATTTTCGGTGTTTACAACACCATCATAATCGTTTATACTTTGTAAAGTCTTTGTTTATCATGGTATGATCGCCATAAATTCAGCTGAAAAGCCATTCCGCATGTTTCAAACCACCATTTCATCTCTATTTTTACTTACTATTTACAAAATCGATTTGAACATTCCACCATACCTGATCTTTAGAAAATGGAGCCTGAAACACAAAATAATGATGACAAAAATCATAATTTGTGATGCTTTTATGATGACCAGATGGATAACCTAAAAACTACATTATGTATATTTTACTAAGGTGTCATTTTTGGCTGAGATTTCAGAGTTTATACCACCATCATAATTGTTTATACTTTGTAATGCCCCTATTAACGTGATATATACATTATAATCACTAAAAGCTCAGCAGAAAAGACCTTCCATTCGCTTCGGATTATCCTTACATGCCATTTTTGTTAGAAAGAAAGTCAGTCAAATATAATGCACTTATGAAACATGAAATCAATTATGACAAAAATCATGATACCAAATTGATGACCATATGGATAACCTAAAACTCAGATAATGTACATTTTCTCGGATGTCTTTATTGTCAAGCTTTTGCTGTTTTCATCACCATGGTAGGGTATGGTAAAAAAGGATACTAGGAAGCGGGGTTTGCGCTCCCCAGGCACTGCAGCCTTCTGGCTTATTGTACCTTCTTAGTTCCTTAGTTCAGTGCAATAGCTCAAGCCTTCTTCTTAAAACTATCAGGTCATTGACTGTCGCTGCTAAAATTTCATTCCCTAGATTTTTTTCATTTATTAGGTTAAATCTCCATTGAGCTGTTGCTTCGCGTTCAAAGGTGATATGGGTGGCTGTTTCCTCCTCCTCATTACATAATCTGCAAATGGGATCATCGTTGTAACTACATTATATATATTTTGCGTAGATGTTTTCCGAGATGCCAGTGATCGGTTAGTAGTCCTACCACTCCTCTGAGTTTAGCTTATTCCAGTTGCAGCAGAGATTTTGCAGGTCTTGGTGAGGGTTGTTTCATCATAAGTTTACTATGTTTAGCATCGCTAGAGTTTATCCACTTCTCCTTTTGTTTTATTCAGATCCGTTCTGCGATGGAGGATTCTATATTTGTTTTTGTTATTCCAAGTATAGGTTCAGGGCCTATGTATGATCTTGCAGATCCTCCTCTGGCCAGACTGTCTGCTTTGTTGTTACCCAAAATTCCCCTGTGCCCTGGTACCAAAGATATCATAAGGTTGTGTTTCCCCAGGTTTTGGACATTTTGGATAAATTCACTGACTAATTTTGATGTGATTCTTTTACATGCTAATGCTTTAATGGCTCATTGGCTATCAGATCTTATGAGGATTTTTTTGCCAGTGTAACCTCTTTTAAGATTTTCCAGAGCACAAGCATTGATGGCATGTATTTCTGCTTGAAAGACCGAAGTGTACTTCCCTAATGAGTTTGATTGCTCATGTTTTGGGCTTAGACAGAAAATGCCCGATCCGGTTCCTTCATTTGTTTTGGAGAAATCTGTATACCATATCATTGTATGATCTTATCTGATGCTTTCCTTTACAGTCCGTTGAGACTTATGTTGTAAAGAATCTTTCCGGGATCGTATAGTCAGTCCCTATTTCTAAGAATGGGTGTCTGATTTTGTTGATAATGGTTGTATGCCCGAATTTTTTAGTTCCTTTCCAATTTAATTGTTTCTGAAGCCTAAGTGAGCTTTTTCTAGCCTCTCCTTGTATGAATATTTCCAATGGAGGTAGGTTTAGCAGAGTTTTTAATGCATTTGTAGGGGGTTGTTCTCATTGCCCCTGTGATACATAAGTTTGCTAGTCTTTGTATGCTGCCTAATGTTTGGGTAGCTACTTTTTGTTGAGCTTTGAACCACCAGATTAGTGACCATAACAATTGTTTATACTTTCTAAAGTCCCTGATCATCACAATATGATCACCGTAAACTTGAAAGGAAAGCCCTTCTGCTTGTTAATAATGACAAAAATCATATGATATATCTACATGATAACTTAACAGCATATAATGTACATTTTCTAAGATGCATTTTTTTTTGCTATGTTGTAGATGCTCATATTACCATCACGATTTTTTATGCTTTGTAAAGTCCCTAATAATCCAGATGACCATCAAAATCTCTGGAAAAAAGACATTTTGCTAGTTTTAGATCATACGTTCATCCTAGACATTATTTATTACTACGATGACAAAACGCTGTGCAGTGTAATGAAACAACCAAAACTGAAAATGGTGAAATGCGTCTGATGGACAGTGCAGTGAGAATAGGCAGACCAAAATGATTACAGCTAAATTATAAATATAATGTGTTCATGAATCATAAAATCAATGATTTAAAAAAAAAACCTTAAAATATACATTATGTATATGCTCTAAGATGCTTTTATTCCTGAATGTTTATATCACTGATTATTGTGGTACAATCACCGAAAGCTCAGCAGAAAAACTCGTCAGACTAAATTTACATTCTGGTTTTTACCTATTACTAAAAAAAGTCATTTGATCATTCAAAAACTCATAATTGTTAGAAAAGGATTAAATATATTGTGTTGTTAAAACTTAAATCGATAAACTGATACATAACTCTATCGAGGGCAGCCAAATAACCAAAAAAATACATTATGTATATTTTCTAAGATTATGTTATTATTCTGGAATTTACGGTCACAAATTAATATAACTTTAAATTAGCTAATTATGAGAATCATTGACACTGTTTTTCTTGTAGTTTGATCTTTCATGATCATTTTGAACCGTATAACCTTTCAGACACCATCTTCTGTGATGGTTTGTGATGTCTCACCTCACGTATATCCCTGATCAAACATGTATGCTTTGTTATTGAATTGACGTTCACAGGAAACAGTACAAAAGAAAACAGTATAAAAATTATTTTAATTACAACACATACATGCAACATGTTATATAGTACATATTAATTTGCAGGCATACATCATTTAGATAATATGATACTGAATACTCATGGTACACACGTACGTTTACACAATAATCAAATATAAGCTATTATGTACATTCACTTGATGTTTGAACTAAACAAAAACTATTTTTAAAAAAATCAAGTCAGTTTGTTAAGATACAATTTAAATTAATACTGACTTTTCTTTAAATTGATGAATAAATTAGTATAATTAATTTTCTATATTACAAAAAATGAAATTCCATTAAAAGTAAGGTACAAGGCAATATTTTGATATTTTATTGTCTGTCAGCGTTAAAAACTGTTTAACATTTGACTGTAAAAAAAAATATATATATATAATAATTTTTAAATATTGCTTTTGTATTAAATTGTGTGAAATTTTATAAAAATATCTGTAAGTAAATATGATAAAATGTTTATTTTACAATTTGGCATCGGTTGCCATTGAAAAAAAAAATGCTCAGCTCAATGCTGAGAAATTATTTGCTTAATCTCCTATGTATTTTTGTTTAAAATAGGCTTTTATTGTGGAGTGGTAGATGATTTCCATTCAGCGTATAACAGGTACGTTCCAAACGCATATGCCAGAGCGTTGAAAAGACCAAATATCTTTAGAAACAAAAAATTTGCGATTAAATAAAAATTACTTAACATCACATTAATCACGTTAAAACAAAAAAATACATACCCCTGCTGCAATATTAGGCGACCGGTAGATAACCGAGTCACGTGAAGACCAGACAGACAGTTGGATAATAAAGGCGATGAAGTAAAGCACAGTGATTATCCCAGTATTCAAGACTTCCTGCAACATTTAATCCCATTGATTATCCGATATAGTTTCACTTGGGGGGGGGAGAAAAAAAACTCACAGTTAATATCCAGTTGATGGGAAGTGTAAGTGCTTCTTTTATAGAAAGGAGGTAGATGAAAACCCAGCATAGGGTAGAGATGAAACTCATCACAGCGACAAACAAAAACCAGTGGGTCCCCGTGAGGAGTGCAGGCGATGCGCATGCCATGCAGATTATACCCAGCAACTGAAATCAACAATAAACCTATTTTTTTAAACAGAATTATTCAAACTTTATTTTTATCTCTATACAGATTATTTTACATCATTCCCAAAATAGTTTGTTTGGCTATGGTGAGATTTTACTGAATTATAATTCGAGCCGAATTACAGTTTATTTTTGTGGATTTGTTCTGTTAATTGATTATTCAGTCTAAGATATTTTTTTGGGACAGAGGGATAACGGGTCACAACTTAGAATTCCGTTGTGGTACTGTTCGCCATGAATGAATAGCAATGGATAGGAAGCGATCCTTCTCATTTATACGGTTATTGACCTCATCCCCTTATATTATTATAATATATTTTTTATTTCTAAATTGTTAATATAATGATAATTAATTTATAGGATAAATTAAAAAAAAATCCTGAGATGAACATTAATGCATACCTCCTACCATAAATCATTAATGTAACAGGTTAAAAAAACATTATATTCAATATTTCTCTATTATTTGACCAAATTGTTGACATTTATTTAAAACAATGAAATTCTACTTCATCCAGTTCAGTCGAACTATTTCACAAGATTCCAAGGCGCCGTATGTTTCAAGACTTTCTCCAATTTCAAATCAAGTAAGAAAAAGAAAGTTTTGATGTTGATCTAATAAGGATTAGAGATTTAAGGCATTTTTACAAAGCGAGTATAGACTGACCGCGGGGGGGGGGATAATCAAAGCTATAAACGAAAGAAACAACTGTCCCCTGGGGGGTTGATGGCCACACGCGAGGCATTTAAAAAAAAAATTATTAGTCTATTGTTGCTCAAACGGAAAGTTGAATACTAAAAAGAAATTCAATCAATTTCCTAGCCTATCACACAAACAAGTATTTTTCCTTTTTCGTGTTGTCTGGAAGGGTCCTAATTCCAATGTTTGGTCGTTTCCAATTATTTTTGGTTTGCCAATCGGTGTTTTTGACCTGTCAGAGGTGTTTCGACTTCTCGCCATCTTCAGTTGTGTTTGTTCATGCCTTGACCTGGTTATAACTGACCAACGCTCCAATGTCTTACTTCTCTAGTTGGGTCGTTACAGATCATTTTGGTTTGCCTATCGCTGTTTATGGTTTGACAGAGGTATTACGACTGCTCGTCGTCTTCAGTTATCGGTTTCAGTTGGAGCCTCTCCATGCTTATTTTCCTAACGCATGTTCCCAATGTTTAAATAGTTTCGTAGTGTACGACAATTTTTGAGATGATGAGATATTTCGTTGAAATCTGCGAACCTGTAGTGTTGCAGTTTTCGGTCACTCAGATGCGTTTTGTCATTTTGCCGTATTAGGTGGTGGATCGGGGATGTAAGAAGGTTGTGGCACGAATAGTAACGCACGCTAAACAAGTAGAAAGGTTTGACTAAAACTCTTCTCCCCCTCATTAAAAGTAGTTTAACATTTACAGTAGATCGTCAAAAGTGGTGGATTACTATTGGTGCCTCATCTTGCTTATTTCCCTGACATGCACACAATGTCTAAATTCAGCAGTTTGCGATTATTTTGCGAGGTGGTGAGACATTTCGTTGAAGTCTGCGAATCTGTAATATATGTCTCTCAGATGCGTTTTGTCATTTTGCCGTATTCAGTGGTGAATCGGGGATATAAACAGGTCTAGGCATCAATTCAAACCCACGTTACACTACTAAATCATTTGGCTAAAAGTTTTTCTAGCCCAATTAAAAACGGTTTAACATTTTTAATAGATAATATCAAAAGTGGTGAATTCGGTGGATTCAATCGGTGCCTCAGCCTGCTTATCACCCTGTCGCACATCCCACAATGACTTAATCGTGTAGTTAGGTCGTTTCCGATCATTTTGTGAGGTGGTGAAATATTTCTTTGAAATCTACAAATCTTCAGTAACGTAGTTTTTGGTCTCAGATGCGGTTTCGGTATTTAGCCATATTCATGATATAATCAAGGATATAAGCTGGTCGAGTTAACACATCCACAACAACTAAAAAATGGGTTATACTTCAAACTTATTATACTTCACTTTTTGAATAATTTGAGTGTGATGAGTACCTTTTATTTATGTTATTTATATGTTAAGTTTCAAAAATTAAGTTACAACTAACGGTCTCCCCCAAAAAGTAAGCTTTTTTTCTCAGATCAGTCGGTGTTTGAACGTTTGAAGTAACAACATCGGAGGTTTTCGCGTTGGACGTTGGCTAGCGCCCAGTGGATTATATTTTTGTACCACGTTTTTTAAAAATATTATCTAACACTTTGTCCTTTGCCTTTGTCTCTTAATTAAAATGCTTAATTAAGCGATTATTAAATTTATTTAACATTCTTCATTAAATAAAAATTTGAAAAATTCTAGACCTATGCATTTCGCTCGAATCGGCGAAGTCAGCGCGCCTGTTCACACAATTGTTAATAAAAAGTTTTCCGGCAAATTTGCAGCATTTTATGTTTGCCAGATTGTCTGCTGGCGAGATTTTATTTTACAGCTCTCGACTCTCTACCAAATAGGGACAAAGTAGGACAAAGATGGTCAATTTCACCAACCACTTAACTTTGTATTCGATATCAAATTTGTCTAGCCACGAATACAAGCGTACTTATGTGGTAGTTTGGGTATCCAAAGACAATCACTCATCATCTACAAGACGTAGGAACAGTTAAAAAGAGCAGAGGTGCTTCGACACCAGCGTGGTATGAACTTAAAGCACTTGGTATCCACTGCCAAGGAATGGCACCCTTCAATTAGGTTGGACACATCGAGCAACCTTTCTTATGTGAGTTTACCTGGTCTGGGGGGTGAGGGCGGGTTATTTTCCGTCATTCTCACTGTTTTATCTTTGAAACGGATTTCTGTTCCATCTTCAGTGGTAAATAAGGGAAATAAACAGGGCAAGGCATCAACCCAGACCCCTCTACTGAAGATCTCAAAATTAAATGTTTGAAATAGTTTCAAATCAGTGCGGCGTTCATTTCTTACAATGGGGGCAGTATTGGACGATGTAATCTAAGAGGATTTTGCATCATATTCTAGCTGTTTTGGACAGTCAGACCGTTTCGACTCTCGGCATAAACAATGGTGGGTGAGGTACCATTAATCAGCCTTAGACGTATCATCTATTAGAAATTTTAAACCGTTTTTAGTTGAACGGGAACATATTTGGCCTAGTTGTTTAGTTGTTTAGCTTGGGGTGGCAGTGGCGCCTCGACTTGCTTATATCTCTGGCCCCACCACTGAGGAGGGCTAAATTCCGTCTGTTAGACCAAAAACAGCTTAAATACAGTTCATAGCATCGGATACTTCAACGAAATTTCCGCTATCACGATCGGATACGACTAACTACACGTCAGTCATTTGCATTGGCGCCTCGGCCTGCTTAAATCCCTGATTATACCAATGAATATGACTAAATTCCGAAACGCGGGTGACAGACAGAAAACTGCGTCAATAAACGTTCGCAGATTTAAACGGTTCGCCATCTCACAAAATTATCGGAATTGTCCAAACCTCAGAAATAAGATATTGAGGACGTGGGTCAGGGTGAACCACCAATACTAATCCACCACTATTGATTTGATCTACTTAACATATTCAACTGTTTTAATTGGGCGGAAAGAGGTTTAGCCAATTTTTTTAGTCGTTTTGTATTGGCGCCTCGACCTGTTTATAACCCAGACCACTAAGGATAGCAATATGCCGCAACGCGTCTGCCAGATCCAAAACAGTTCGATTACAAGTTCATCGCATCGCAGACTTCAGCTATATATTTCACCACCTAACAAAATGATCGGAAACGACAAAACTACAGAATTGATGCATTGGGTACGTGGGACAGGCTAATAAGCAAAGCGAGGCACCAACACAAACCCTAACTGAAGATGGCGAGAAGAACACCTCTGATAGACCAAAAACAACGATAAGAAAACCAAAATGTTTCCAAACGATCAACCAGCATTATTTAGAGATTAGGGAGGTGAGTCGGGTAATAAGCAGGGTGAAGCAGCAACTATTGACGACTATTGATATTATCTACTAAAAGTGTTAAAAAGCTTTTAGCTGACTGGAAAGTAGTTTAGCCTAATTATTTAGTTGTATAGGGTACATTTCTATTCATTCCTCGACCTGCTTATATCCCTGATTATATCAGTGAATATGCCGAAACGCGTGAGTTAGCCCTAAAAACACTGTGACTACAGGTTAGAAGACTTGAACAATATATCTCAACATATTAGAAAATATTCCGAAACGACCAAACTACAAAATTAAGAGATTAGGGAGATTGGTCGGGGTAATAAGCAGGGTGAGGCATATTATGCGAAATTGGTAAGCTGTTGGATATTCTTTGAAAAGATTACCAGTGGCAGGCGTATCAGGATGATCACATATGATAAACATACCAGCATACCAAATTTCATCATTTTTGTGTAGGCAATGTAAAATATTTTTAAAAAAACCTCTTGTAATTTTTACTTATAATGTTTATTTAATTTCTGAAAGGTTTCTTTATCAACGTGGATTTCACATAGCAAACTGAATAGAAAATTTATTTTCTTAGAGAGACCAAAATTTTGTGTAGAGGATTTTGCAACTACAATTACGAATCGAGGCATTGTGTCTAGGGTATTTTCGAAATTATATTTGCTGATCGTTTGCCCGGGTTTATTTATAATTCGGGAGCCAAGGTAGTGGCCCAGTCTGCTCAAAAAAAGTTTCGAACGAATACAAAAAACAAGCAATTCTAAATATCTACACAATTTCGGAACAGTCCGTTTTGGTATGGATTGTTGTGTTCTCCGACCATCTGGTACTTGCCGGTTTGGTCTGTCATAAACCTCCGGGCATCTAATCTCAGGTGGATTTGTGCCAGGACAGAAAATAAATAACGTAAAAAAATCCCCCTTGGTCAAGAGAGGTATTTGGAGTATTGGACGGAAGCGTGTACCGCTAGGAGTTCGGTGCGTGTTTGAACGGGACCGACTTTTAAGATACCACTCGGCGAGGACCGTTAG